ATTGCCTAGGTAAATATAAAGGAACTATACTTGTATTTTGTGTATAATTTTTTTCTATCTGACCTAAAAGATAATTGCATAAATCAATAATTATAAAACTATATTGATGGGTTAATAATATCTGAAGGTTTAATTTATATGACAATAATAGTACTATGAAGGGGGAGAGAATGGAGCTATATTGGACCAATGTTTTTGTATACAATCAAAATTAAGTTGGCATTAATCTGAACTGGATTTTTAAAAATTGAGATATCAATTGTAATCTCCAGGGAGAACATTAAGAAAATAATTTTTTAAAATGTAGTAGAAGAAAAAACAAAGGAATTAAAACTGTATACTAGAAAATATCTATTTAATACACATGACATAGTATGAGAGAAATAGAGGAACAAAATGACATAAGTCATACAGAAAATTAATAAAAAACTGTCAACCATAAATTCTTTATCATTCATTATGTTAAATGTAAATGAACTAACCACTATACTCAAAAAGCAGAGATTGGCAAAATGGATGGAAAACACGATCATGTCTATAAGAAACATACTTTAGTTTCAGGACCCCAATAGTTTGAAAATAAAAGGATGAATAAAGATATACTAAGAAAACAGTACCCGAAAGAGCTGAGATGACTGTACTAACATTATACAAAATAAAGTTTAAGACAAAAATTGTTAGTAGAGATGAAGGACATTTTATGATGATAAAATGGTCAGTTCTTCTGGATTATATAACAGTTATAAATATATATGCACTTAACAACAGAACCCCAAAATACATGAGGCAAATCCTGACAGAATTGAAGTGAGTAATAGATCATTAAACAATCGTAGTTGAAGACTTCAATATTACATTTTCAATAATAGGTAGAACAGTTAAACAGATGGTCAAAAAGGAAATAGAAGTCATGAGCAACACTATAAACTAGACCTGTAGAACATTCTATCCAACTGCAGCAGACTACATATTCTTCTTATTTGCACATGGAGCATTTTCCAAGATAGACAATATACTAGGCCATGAAACAAGTCTCAGTAAACTTTAAGAGTTGAAATCATACAGAGTTTGTTCTTTAACACAATGGAATTAAATTAGAAATTGCTAACAGGAGGACATTTGTGTAATTAAACACATTGCAGATATATCAATTAAACAGCACACTTCTAAATAACCAATAAATCAAAGATGAATCATAAGGTAAATGCTTTATGATGAGTGAAAACAAGAATATCATACCCAAACTTATGAGATGTAGCTAAAGCAGTACTTAAATGGAAATTCATACCTGTTAACAACTATATTAATAAAGAATAAAGATTTTCAAATCAATAGCCTAACTTTCTACCTAAACCAACTAGAAAATGAAGAGCAAACTAAACCCAAATCAAGCACAATAAAGGAAATAGTAAAGAATAGAGTAGAAATAAACAGAACAGAGAATAGTAAAGCAATTAAAAGATCAACAAAACTAAAAGAGTGTTATTTGGAAAGATCAAGAGCATTGAAAAAACTTTAGACTAATTGCAAAAAAAAGAGAACACTCAAATGACTAACCGTAGGAATGAAACAGGGTATATCACTATCAACCATATGGAAATAAAATAGATTGTAAGCAAATATAGTGAACAAACATATGCTAAAAAATTGGATAACCTAGATAAAACATTACCAAGTGCTAGAGATGATACACAGTTACCAGAGTTCTCATATATTTCTGGTGGGAATGCAAAATGATACAGCTACTCTGGAAAATAATTTGGCAGTTTCTTCCAAACTTAAACATATGTGTATCTTATGACTCAGCAGTCTCACCCTAGGTAAATAAAAAGTTAGGTTCACACAACAAGCTGTACATCTGTGCTTGTAGTAGCTCTGTATATACTTGCCAAACACTGGAAATAGCCCAAATATACTTCAATGAGTGAATTAATAAAACAACTCTGGTACTTTTATACAATGGAATGCTACTCAGCAATAAAGAAGAATGAACTCTTGATTCATACAACTTTAATAAATCTTAAAGGTCTATGCTGAATGAAGCAAGGCATTGTTACTTTATTGCCAAATTATTGAAAAGACAAAGCTATAGAAATGGGCCATCGATCAGTGGTTGCCAGGAAGTATGGGTGGGAGGAGGGGTGAATATAAAGGTATAGCACATAGGGGTTTGGGGAGGTGATGGAACTATTCTGTATCCTGATTATGGTGGTAGTTACATGAGTCTATACATGCATTAAAATTCATAGAACTGTATACCCGAAGGAAAAAAGTCAATTTCACTGTATAACGATTTAAAAATAAAACAGTATTATGGAATTATTCTGGAGGGAGAAAGCATAAATTAGTCAATCAGGAGCATGGAGATGAGGAGAAAAAGCTGTTGTTCCTTAAACTGTATCATAGGGAATGACAGTACAGAAATTACATGATGAGTAGTATCATTGAGAATAGAGAAACTAGATGATCGAGGCCCCAGACTGGCTTCATAGGCTAGAATTATCAAGTTTTTCCCTCCAAATAAAATTTAATGAGCAACTGTCAAATAGCTACTTTGTATTGCATTATTGATATAACCAAAATCAAACCCAGTTGTGTTCAAGAAACAGTCTACATATAAAATGTAGATGATCTACATGTGTTTTTTGTAGGTGTAAGTACTCAGAAGGCAGGGACTTCTATATTTTATATTTTTTACACTTGTGTGGGCATAGGTGTCTTTCTCGAAACCATAAAAATTCAAATGTTAAAAACTTCTTTGGGTATGATTGAAAGATCTGGTTTCAGTTATAAGGAACTTAACAGATGCCCCTGTAAATGTTTTCACTTAGTACTGAAACCACATTTTGCAATATGTACTTTTGGATATCATAGTCAGCAAGGAGAATGCTAAATTAATGACAGATGCACTGTGTGGAGAAGTACCAGGTATATAATAATTTTTAATACTATCTATTTATTATAAATATAGTTTTAAATGTTTGTATCAACTTTAATATAAATCTAGAAGTAGTATTCTCTAAGAGAATATAGGAGTTGGATTGAAATAGAATATTTATTTAACCAATGGTTATATGCACTTGAAATAGAGTGATAAATTCTCACTCTAATGTTGATTCTTTGAGGTATATTTGAGTCTGTTTTATGACAGACACATTATCAAAAATATTGCTTATTTGTATGAAAAATATATGTGTTAAGACAATTCTTTTTCATATATTTTTTCCCCCGTTGCACCCAGAGATTATTATAGGACATATACAAGATAAAACAAGAAATTACGTTTTGGCTTCAGATGTATAATCTTCACATTTCTTTTTAGATTCTCATTAGAAACTTGCTTTGTAACCCTAAGTAGAGGCATTTGCTGTGTCACCATTTTCATTGTTCTGAACTGTTTATGTCACAGCAGGAATAATGTGAATAATTTGTCTATTGAGATGTGAAATCAAGGTGAACACTTGTCAAGGTTTTTTTTTTTAACAAAATTAAATATTGCAAATTTAAAATAGGTCAGAGTAATATTTTTCTGTATTTTGCTCATTCCATGATTTAAATTTAGATCATTTGATATACATTGTCATAATTGACTCATTTCTGGATCATTAAACCCCATCATCAAATAATATTTATTAAGTTTCTATATGCTCATAGAGCCATAATGACTGCTATACAACAGTGGTTAAGGAAAGAGCATACACTTCTTTTAAAAAAATACATAGCTCTTCAGCCAAACAATACTGTTATGTGTCTAATTAATGCAGATATAGCATTTCTTCATTACAACCATCCATTTGACTCACTTCTCTCTGCCATTTCTAATTCTAAAAATCTATATGAAATTTTAAAGGTACTTTTGAGTCATTAGCAGACACATTAAGAAATATATTGCACATTAAATTTTTATGATGTACTTTAGTTTAGATCAACTACTTTGAGATTTATTTCAGTGTCAGGAAGATGTAGAAATTAAAAGTTAGAAGTTGTATTATTTAGATCAAGGAAATGTAGGGGTAAGTTTTGGAAAGAAACTGATCACTGAAAGATAAAGGAGTAAGATGGAAGTAAGGCAAAATGACAATATAAAATAGACAGAGATTATATTGTCATATGTTAACTCCTACTCAGAATAACATACACTGTCATATTTGAGGCTTATTTGGCTCAGTTATTAGTTAAGAGTTTGGTTAACAAAAAAGTGTATTGTTCTAGTCAATGCTTTTGTTGATGTCACTGTTAAATCTATTTTCTCCTCAGGCTATGTGATATCTCTTTTGTTATGCATTGGTGGGGTCATCAAATAGTACACAAAAAAGGAAATTTTATGACACTAACTCAGTTTTGCTCATTTTTTGCTGTGAAATGTGATAGAGATGATGAAACTAATATCTAAATGTAGCTATCCTGTGTCTTTTATCTAGCCATATTTATTCTGTCCTCTATTAAAAGGAAACAAAAGTTAAATACATATTTTTCTAATGAATTCAGGGGGTTAAAATTAATTATTTATAGATTCTTTATTCTCTTGGAGAAAACTAGAGGATATTTCTCAAGTTCACTATTTGAATACTTAATGTATCCTTAATAAAATAAATTTATAATGAACTGTTACTCTTCAATCATGAAGACAAAAGTTAACTTTATCTATTAATGGGATCTTACGTGTACTCACTTATTTATGCATTTTTGTTTCCAAATGCTTCAAAAAGGTTTATTCTCTTTACTTTAAAATCCTTATTCTCTAAAATAAGTTTTCATCTTTTTTGACATTCACTGCATATCAAATCAGAGATGTCTGCCAAAATCTTCTTCCCGAAAAAGTAAGAGAGGAAGAAAAGTTGACCTTTGGGTGACAAATTTATGGTTACCACAACTGGGAACTACTTTGCAACTCTGTGTCTCTGTTTTACTCTATTTAAACATTCTTTGACATTTCAGATGACTCTTAAATTTGAATTATATGTATGCATAAGTCATTGTCTGAAACGATTTCTTTCTAGGTAAACAGGATTATAAAAAAACCAAACCTATTTTACGAGCAACCAAATTGAAAGCAGAAGCAAAGAAAACAGCAATAGGCATAAAGGTACACCTCTGTTTGATAACTTTAAATTTTGATATGTGCTTGCCATTTCATTTTCTAAAACTGGATTGCATAAATGTTGAATTCTAAATGTTTTATGACATTTCAAAATCTGAATAGAACTCCAGACTCAAAGGTTTTTGTAAAGAATTTACTTAATGGAAAACATCCTTCCTATCCTGAGATTTTGATGGGTCTTCAAATGAAACACAATGTCACTTAAGAAAACCAGTTATAAAGTGCAATTTATTTATTTTTTCTAGTTACTGTGTATATTGTTCAAACATTTTGGTGATATATACAGCCTTAGTCAAAAATTTCTTTTTTTTTTCAATAAATTTTATTTGATAGTTTAAATTATAGTTATAATTACATATACTTATATCATTAATATACGTAATTTTACTGTGTACCTGATTGTTGTCATATCTCTTAATGATGAAATTCTAATGATGTTCCCAAACTTGTTCTTTTAGAAAACCAGTATTTTATCTGCTTAAGAGGGATAAATGCAACTGAGAATGATGTTAGCAGATATTAATTTAATGTGCTAGCACAATGAAGATCAACAAAATTACATTTACATTGTTACCCGTGTCAATTTTTTGCCAAGTATTTAAAGTTGAATTAAATTATTAATAGAAAAATTAATTTGGCAACTCCAATATTAAATGTGTAAAATAAAAATGACCAATACATATATTGTATTTAAATATTGAAATGATAAAAGGAGATTTTGGTTTTTATCTGGCAGATGAAAAATCAATTTTTCTAAGTTATAGCTTATAGCAAATGCCAAGGTATTACTACCATGTTGTAACAGCTGTTGAACTGCCAGATGATATATTTGGTTGTCTTCCAGAATTTGCTATTATGATCACAAAACACTGCCTTCTTTTTGCTCCTGATTGCTGATTTTGATCAAGCATTGCCTTGTGATGCAGTATATTTTCACAATACAACCTCCTCAGTTAGTGCTGTGTCAGTTTTTAATGAGAAAAAAAGTAAATTGCTTTTTTGTTTGAGAGAAGATTAATATTTTGAAGTTTTTGAATTTTTTATAAAATTTCGTTCATCTTTATTAAAAATATTTTGATAACATGATTTTTCTAAAAGCAATGCTTAGTTTTTTATCTTACATTTAGTTATATGATGATTGTCTCTTGAAGTGAGAGCATTGTTTGTCATTGTCCTCCAAGGCAACATGTCACTTACTTTTATCTTTGATAATGCAGTGGGGTTTTTTTGTTTTTTTGTTTGTGTTTAGAAAAACATTGAGGTTATGAAATTCACTTGCAGAACCATATAATGAGCAGTTATATATTAGGATTTGAAAAATTGTGCAGCCATTCATTTATTTATATACCACTTTTTTAATACTCATTATTTTTTATATTTGCTTTTATAATTTTTGTTATTGTTTTAATTTGAAGAAATAAGTGTGTTCTTAGTATGTGATAGAGTCTATCTTATAGTGCAATTATCTAATGTCTTTTTAAAAACAATATAGAATTTGTTGATCTTTATGAGAAAAAAATTTTTCTCAGATTTCATTTACAATTTAAAGTATGTACAGAAAAGTTTCTAACTGACATCAGAACATAGTTCCTTTTCAATAAGCTAACATATCATTTTGATTTGTAAACCTGTCGAAACAAAAATCTTAACCTTAACTATTGTTTACTTTTCTTGAAAATTTATGTGAAGAGCCCATTAAGGTGATATGAAACTTTTTAGAATCAAAACCTTAGAGGTATTTTACATTTCAAATCCGGCATACTAATTAGTTTGCCCTGTCAAACTTTGATTGCCTTGTCATTTTGGCATAGGATTTTAAATAACAAAGTTTCTTTCAGCAATTGCCATTTAATGCTTTTTAATTTCCCCCGTGAGTGATTTTATCCATATTGATAATGTCAGAGAAGCAACTAAGGACTAATGAACATCAAACGTGTTTGACTCTTATCTAGCTGATGCTGAATGACCATAATATTGTAATATTTTATCACTTTAATACTTATTCTTTTGAATGAATCATAGTTATGCTCATCGAATAATTTAAATCTACAGACAATATGAACAGGTGCATGGAATAGAAAAACAACAGCAATGACAACACTGAACAGAGATAAGGAGGCCTAGGATCACAGCCCTATTGCCCCTACTGTTGCCATGATCTAGCTAAGTCGAAGCTGGCACATTTGTAAAATAGAGATTATGCCGTTTACCTCATAAAGCTGTCAGGGGAGTTAAATAACACAGTGAAAATATTGAACTTTGAACTTAGCACATAGAAGTCATTTATGAATGAATTTCTGATTGGGAAAATATTTGTTTGAATTAGCCAATTCTGTTTGTATAAATAAGACTTCTCTTGAATGTTTGTCACTGGCCTAAAGATCCCCTACTTCACATAGGTCATTATTGTGTGGATATATTATATATTACAAAATATTTGCAGTTTTGCTGTGGAGATAGTATTATGGATATTAGTGTTATTTATTCGTTATTTATTTAGAAATTACTGTAAGTATTATGATATTGTAGAACCTGTGGAAAGAAAGATGAATAAGACATGATTGTCATGGAAAAACTTATACAAGAAATCACTTCCAGATTTAATTATCACATCAAATTAACAGTAGTGATTGAGATATCATGGTCTAGAGATATGAATACTTGTACAATAAGGCCTTACCCTCAAAGTCTTCTAGTACTTTTTTATGAATGTATGTTTGGTAATATAAAATGTTTTGGGAGAACAGTTAATGATTTAAGCATAAGATTTGAATAATCTGTGTTAAAATCTAGAATTAATTTCTGTTGAGAGGCTATTTTTATTTCCTGTGTCTTACAAATGTAAATAAAATATCATAATTTATGACCTAGCAGTGCAATTAGTGCCATCTAAAAAAATATTTGCACAACTGAGTTTGCTATTTTGTTACTGTTCAATTAGAAGATTCAAGAATTACAGCATCAATACAAATTTTTTTAGAATGCAAGTACCTGTGTTTCCTAGTATTTCGAAGGAAAAATATCTACATTTGTTAATTTTTTTATTTATGTTTATTTGAAAGGCATAATCATAATAAAAGAACATTGCTCAAAATTTTATCAATACAAATTTTTTTAGAATGCAAGTACCTGTGTTTCCTAGTATTTCGAAGGAAAAATATCTACATTTGTTATTTAATTTTTTATTTATGTTTATTTGAAAGGCATAATCATAATAAAAGAACATTGCTCAAAATTTTAGTTTTGTTGCATAAAAAGAAATTCTAATGTCAACCAAATCCTGCCAACAACCTCTTAGGATGAGCCAGCTTGAAATATTATGTTTGCTCTTTTTTGTTATTTCTGATTTAAAGCATGAAATAGCCAAAGGGTGGGGGAAGTCATAAATGCTTACAGATCTCTTTTGTTAGTGTCACCAGCATCCTGAAAGCATTATTTTCAAATTTTACCATGTTTTAGCCATCCAGACATTCAGCCTCAATACATGTCTCCTCAACAAAATAGGCACATTTTGAAGAAAATTATTTGCTGTGTATACCTGCCCAATACTTTGTAAGCCACCCCCACACCATATATTGAGCAGTTTATAATTGAATTAATGGATTCTCTGAAGTTGTATTCTATGAATATTCTCTGCTTCCTACCCTTAAAACTCTTTTTTATGTCTCTGGGTATTCTGAAAGTTTACAGTGAAGATAATGCAGAGTTGTTTTAAGGACAAGAAGTTGAAAAGCAGCAATTAGAAAATATTATCTATAAGATGAGAATCATGGCCTCTAATCAAGAGTAAAAACTTTATTCCTGAATTAAGCTTGGGTGAATGGTGACTGCTGTTGAACAGTTTTGTTGTCCACTATACAGAACAGATGGAATTTGCAGTTGTGTGTCACTTGTTTATTACATCCTCTTAAAATTAGTAGCTGTGTAACCAGATGGGTCTGGGAGCACAGCTGTGGATATAAGAAAATAAATGAAACCTGTCTGAGGCTGCCATGCCCTTTTCAGATGCCAAAGTGTTCCAACTGCAACAGAAAAAAATTCACTTTCATTTGACATTATATTGATATATTAAATTTAAAAAATCAGATCTTACAAAATCATTGACACAGTTTTTCAACCCCATAGTTTTTATTAATATTTATTTTCAAGTTTGGAAATCCAAATAAATGTGATTATGAAACTAAAAATCTGTATAAAATACCTATTTGTAATTTCAACATTTAGGTAAAAATTCCATGTTGATTATAAACCAAATTAATTTTCATGTTTTTAAAGTTTAATAGGTGGATATATGTTGAATGATTGATTTTACGTTCTTATGAAATGTAAAATATATTCATATAAATGCAAATGAATTGCTTCTCCATAAAATAATGCCCAGTAAAGACTGTGATACACAAGTGAAAATTAGAAGGGAATATTTGGACCTTTAGGATACTGACTGGCTCTTTTTTCTGCTTAACCAAATGATATGTTAATATTGAGAAAGTTTCTTAATGGTATTTTCCTATAGATAGAGAGAGAGGGCGAGAGAGAGAGTTACTCTTTGGGAGATAATATGACTTTTACCATAATATATATATAGTAAGTTTTTTGGTCATTATTTTAGTATAGTTGATTAATATAATCCAAATCAAATCACCAAATGAAATATTCAGGACCCTCTTTCACCATAGTTATAGGTTGTTCTGTATCATGCTTCATGAGCTAAGAGCACTCAGTTTTGTTCCTCCACAATGTGAACTCTAGAATTTAAACATTAGAGTTCCAACAAAGTATTATGTAATGAAGATTTGTACAGAGACATAATCTAGAAGCCATTTATAACTGTTTCTTCTGAATAGAAAATAAATGATAAATTTTTTAAAAATCTGTGTCTAAATGCTATCACTAATAATAAATGTATGGAAGCAACAAATGAAGTTAAGACAGAGAACAGATAAACTGTGGAGGCACAAACTGCATTGCTTGCATCCAACATTTTGATATCCAAACTATGAAGACATATTAAAATGATAACATTTAATTTTACTAGTAGGAAAAAAAATTAACTAGAAATAATAACAGAAGTGAATTACCCACTGATGTATTTTCCATTGCAATAGGTAGTGTTAGTACCAAGTAAGTTTTTTAACTTAATGGAAAAAAATGCGAACCAAAAGAATGTGATTATTAGGTTCAAATTATTTGTTGTAGACTATGGAATAATATGGATTTTTTATCTGATGAAACTGATAACATAAACCAATCTTTTTTCATCAATTTCAAGTCTATTTTTTTTTCTTCCCCAGGAAGTTGGCCTTGTACTTGCAGCTATATTAGCCCTCCTCCTGGNAACATTAGAGTTCCAACAAAGTATTATGTAATGAAGATTTGTACAGAGACATAATCTAGAAACCATTTATACCTGTTTCTTCTGAATAGAAAATAAATGATAAATTTTTAAAAAATCTGTGTCTAAATGCTGTCACTAATAATAAATGTATGGAAGCAACAAATGAAGTTAAACATACTCAGAGAACAGATAAACTGTGGAGGCACAAACTGCATTGCTTGCATCCAACATTTTGATATCCAAACTATGAAGACATATTAAAATGATAACATTTAATTTTACTAGTAAGAAAAAAAATTAACTAGAAATAATAACAGAAGTGACTTACCCATTGATGTATTTTCCATTGCAATAGGTAGTGTTAGTACCAAGTAAGTTTTTTAACTTAATGGAAAAAAATGCGAACCGAAAGAATGTGATTATTAGGTTCAAATTATTTGTTGTAGACTATGGAATAATATGGTTTTTTTATCTGATGAAACTGATAACATAAACCAATCTTTTTTCATCAATTTCAAGTCTATTTTTTTTTCTTCCCCAGGAAGTTGGCCTTGTACTTGCAGCTATATTAGCCCTCCTCCTGGCTTTCTATGCTTTCTTTTATCTCAGACTGTCCATGGATGTTGACCCTGATCTGGACCCAGATGAAGATTAGCTGAGCAACAATCAATGCATGAATGGGAAATACTTTTACAAAAGCACATTTTGGAACCAATACTTTTCTGAAGTACTAAAACTGCAACATCTTGAATTCTTTCTTCTGGTATTTTCAGTTTGCAGAAATATCTTTTTAAATAGTTGCATAGGATATCAAGAAAAGAACCTTACCTAGCAATGTGATAAAATATATGCTACCAGATACTTTTATAAATCTTTCTGCTTTGACAGGCACACTGTACATGGTGCATTTAGATAAAATGGAAAATGCATCCTAAATTTTTCAGATGTCTTAGCCAATTTATATGTATAACTCCATCCCTTACAGATTACTAAATCTATTTTTGTTCTATATACATCACAAGTAAAAGTATATACAGTATTCTCATTTACAGAAACACTCAAATCACACTCAGAGCCTAAGATGGAACAAAAAGTCATGGGAAATTTTTTATTTTACAAAGACACCCCGCTTTCTTTCCAGACGTATTTTATATCATTAGAGAGACTATCTGCACATACATCTACAGTAATCTTTTTCCTTCTTTGCCAACTGTTCCATGCACATGTGCTCCATCAGAAATGGCACCTGGATGACAGAAGTTCAAAGAGTCACATATGGCTCTAAAATAGAGTTCCTTTCCTTCTTTGCCAACTGTTCCATGCACATGTGCTCCATCAGAAATGGCACCTGGATGACAGAAGCTCAAAGAGTCACATATGGCTCTAAAATAGAGTTCCTTTCCTATTGGGCTGCCTGAACTAGTGTAAATAGAAAGTTCAGTTGATCTTGATTTTAATTAACTTATTACTCTTTTAATATAAACTTGGAATCTATTTCAATTATGTTGTTGGGCTGCTTGCAGTATCAGTTTGCCCCTCTTGTTAGGGAGATGTGTAACAATCTGTCATTTAATTGTGTAGTCTTTGTCATACAACAGCAATAGCAGAAGTCCTCCCTACTCAGAATCATTTTCTTGGGTTGTCTTCTAAATCTGAACAATACAAAGTTGTTTTACAAAATTACTTTTTAACTCTTGAGAGTTAATTAGATCTCTTCAGTGGAAAATGTAGAAGAAAATATATGTCCTGTAGTACTTTCATATGTAGTTTTCTGTTTATATAATTTTTGAATGTATTTTGCATTTGTTGTAGCATAATGACCAGTACATTCAATGTTTTTACAGGTAATTGTATTTTTAAATATATTTTTAAAACACATAAAAACATAAAGCTTGGAAAATTGAAAAGTATCTGTCTACAGAAGAGTGGTTAGCTATTACCTTACTTAAAGATGCATAAAAAATAAATAGTTTGAAACATTGCACAAAGTGTTTTATAGTATATACATCATATTTATGAAAAATAAATAAAATATTAAGATTGTTTCAATACAGGCCAAGAGAAGAAAGCTTTGGTAAATACCGTAGAAGTACATAGGGCTTTATAAGCACAGTTTCTAAAAAAAACAGATATTCTTTGGTACTTTTGCAGAAAGTTGAATATAACTGTGTAGTATTATATTCTGTAGAATTTTTTCAAGTAGCATAATTTATTTCATCAATGTGAAAACAGCCAAAGGTTCCAATATCCTCACAGATCATTTATGCCAAATATCTGAGGGCAAAATTTAGCCAGTGTTATTTACTGATTCTTCCCCCTGAACTCACAAATTCAAGAGAGAAACGAAGAGTTCTTATATACTCTCCACAGCAGCCCTGTCCAAGTGGCATTTTTAGGAAAGGTTGCAGCATTTAATGCCATGTGGTATGTCTGTTCGTGAAGTGGGAGGCAAGGGAATATCCAAGCTGGCATTTTGGATATGATGGGCCTTTTACTTTCCTGAGTGACATGCCACATGTCAAGAAACACTGCTTTCCCCCACTCCCATCACATTTACGTGAACAATTTCATTTAGTTATTTCTCCTCCCATATGGTGTTAAAAACAGTCATATTAAATAAAGATTATTTCTAGCATTCAGTGGTAATTTCAAGGAGAGGATATGTAATAATTGCTTATTAGATACCTACCCAAGTGAGACCGATATTTAAAATAAATCATTATGCCCTTGGAAATGTTTAAAAATTTATCATCCTGGAAAAAAACTTCAGCATTCTGTTCTGCTCTTGAGGTATTCTTTTGTTTCTGTTAGTAATAAATATTAGTGTAAATATACTACAGTTATAGGCAAATTTAATTGCCTAGTTTTATTGATATCATTAGTCTATAGCTAATCTATTTGTATGACTGATTGACTTATGATGGCCCCGGAGAACCATTAATCCCGAAGGCTAAACTCTTTGGTTTCAGTAAATAACAGGTGAAGTGATATAATATATGCTTACACAACACTGTTTTTATGAAATACAAATTTCACATTAACTGGGAAGCAGCCAATCCTCTGTAGAGAAATCCCAGATTGAAAGTCTGGTTTGAATCTTTGAAGACAGAAAGGTGATATCCAGCCTGCTGTTTCAGAGGACCATATTTTTGAACAGTGAGTGGTGTTCGGCATAAATCTGAGACTGGCACCAGGCACAAATTTTAGGCATGGGTATTTCTCCAATAATTAACTACTCAGAGTAATTCAGAAGACAAGAACAGAAAGAATTATAACAACTTTTCAAAATGTTAGAATCTATTTGTTAACATACTCTGCAGAATAAATTTTATCAAATACAGCAGACTTAAAATATAGCCTATCGATTACTGTGAAGGAAGTCCAAAGGGTTGCTGATTCTTATTTTACATGCAAGTTTAGACCAAGGTAAAGAATATATAAATTTATTGGAGAGGATATACTGTAAAAATATAAGCTCATCTAGAATTTATCTTAAAACAAACAAAAAGCCTATTTTAGTACAAATATAGGGTTGGTTGTTTTAAGGTGGCAAAATACTGAAAGATTTTCTATCTTTTCAATTTTTCATAAAGACTGAAGAAATATCCTCATCCTAACCAATTCCTATAAGATCCTGAGAGTATATTCTTATTCATTTCTGTAATTCCAATAGTGTAGTAACCTGCACGTAAATTTAATGAATGCATGCTAAAATTTAAGTTAATATCTTATAGTCCTCTCAAGTCTGGCACAGACAGTTCTTTGTGTATGGTAGATGATAAAAATCATTTGAATTTAATAAATGAAACTTTAAAAATCACAGTATTGATCAACTCCTAATATTTAGCATTTATGGTCATTTTTTGTGTTGAGACAAATATAATATTTCATCCTGATTCTCTTTCAGATCAAGTCAACTAGCATTAAGTTTGCTGTAATAAAGAAACAATATTTTTTTCTAGGAAATTAAATGTGCTATTTTTTTTTTTTTGGTATTTGTTAAAAACTGTACTCAATGTTCAAGTTCACCTTGGAATGCGTTTTCCCTCCAAATGAAAATAGACCTAAATTTTCATTGTAGTGTTTATGTGACTACTAAAGCACTACATATTCCAGGTTCTAAAATTGTATAGTCAATGATAATTCAGTAGAGCAAACTGTGCTTTAGATAAGCTTCAGAAATAAACTTCTAGAAATTAAACGTATTCAACTTTAATGTATCTTATCTATGACATAAGGTTGTTGAGCCAGAAACTACTTAAGATAATTTCATATTCTCTCCTGACCAACAATTAGAATTCCTTACACTTACCTCAGGCTTCTCTGGGGGATTCCTACCACTTCTCCCTTAGCAGCACTGCCTCCTTTTACTAGCATTGCTCTAGTGCAGCCTGGATAGAATGATGTTTGCTAGATTTTGTTTCAGTGATACCATTTCTAGAATCAATGCAACTCACAGTAAAAAATTGTAGCAGATGAATTCAATATCTACAGAAACATTCTTACCATTTGTTTCGGTTTTAGCTATCCAGGTAAGTATAGCGGGAACTGAGAAAGTCATGTAAAGAACTATACCAGTGTGGAAATACCCATAGTGGGTCAGTAATTCATTTAAGACAATTGAACTGCAGCCATACTCAGCAAAGTGCCTTCTTGTTATACAGTTTTTAAATCCCTAGCAACAGATATGAGATCCTTATTTCAAGAAAAATAAAATGCTTTACATGCCAGAAGACTTTTTGATGACAGTACCCCCTCCTATTCTTCATTTTTTTAAAACAACCACCAAATTGGTGGGGAGGCAGCCAAAATTTGAGGTACCAATGCCTCTCGAACAGATGTCGCACCATTATTTTTTAGCTCGTTTAGATGAATAAACATGTTAAACTGTGAAGTATTACATTTTAGATTTTTTCATTAAAAAAAAGAGACAATCTGTTTACTGTCCTAATTGAGACAACAATCCTTGTGGTTGCCAGTTTTGGCAGTCATAACAATGAACTATAAATATTTGGACCAATCAAGTAAATGGTGACTATAAAGGCTATAGCATGTGTAAAGTTCTGTTTTCACGGGCACCCATCTTAGTATGGCAATTTTTTTTCTGACTTCTTCAAATACAATTGTTTGTGTGAAACTGAAGTTTCATGGTAAGCCTAAAAGAAATTGATTTCAATATCTAATTTCTTTCTAGTTTATCATCCTTTTGAGTGTTCAGCTATCCATCTGCTTGTAACAAATTGCTTCTGTGGTTGCTCTATTGAATGTGACAAGGCAGGTCTTCATTGGGTTGCCTTCTCTGTACATCCTATGATAACACAAAATTCACAGGGGTTTCTTTTTTTTTTTCTCTTTTCATTTTTATAAAATGAGATGATAGACACTTAAAAAGTGTCTTTAATTGCCACAATTAGGTTTTTTAAAAAAGGTTTTATAAACAAACAATGGTGGATATAACTCTTGCTATAATGGCCATGAGAATGTCATATCCTAACCTCTATCAGGACGCTTACCAGAAACAGCAGTGTGAGGGAAGTGGGTAGACTAAAGAGATACAACCTATGAGTGAAAAAATATTTATGATGCTAGTTTCCAAACATTTGTGATCCAGATAGCGAGTGCCCTTCTAGGCACCTTATTTGAGTGCTTTTGCTGCCTTCTCTAACTCTTTACCTGCCACACCATCTGCCTCAATTCTAAGTTTGAGATAATCTGTAACCTTCTCTCTCTGTTTTTTTTTTTTTGCACCTCACTTCTATTCTTCTATTTAGTAGGTTAGCACCCTCTCGTTCTTAACTATGTAGTTGCTATACTAATTGCTCTACTCTTAGAATCAGCATTGATCCTCACCTATGCTTCTCTCTCTCTCTTACTTCCTACCTGCTTTCTTTTTTTATCACTAACCACATGTATTACACAAAAGTAGAGAATCTACCCATCAACTAGTTTTAGCAGTTATCAATATTTTGCCACTCTTTTATGTATTTCTTCCATTCTTTGTAACCTGAGGTATTTTAAAGCAAGCCTCAGATATAGTAACATTTTACCTATAAGTAGCTCAGTATG